ATTTTGACAAAAGGAGAGAAGTATACTTTCAATGTGGAGTAGAGTGTATTCTTTACTTAGTTAAAAAAAAGGGGGGTTGATAAATCCAAATATTTTTATTTGTTTCTTTTACTACCTTCTTGAGAGATGTGTTGTCATTATTAAAAAGGGGGAGAATGTAAAACCTTATTTTGCAGGTTACTTCTAGGTGATATACATTTAATAAGAACAATTACTTTTGATGATGACATATACTATAATGATGATAACTAGCCTATGATGAAAACAACTAAAGTCAAATATAAAGTGGTTAAAAATGCAAACTAAATTGTTAGGGTTTAATGAACTTGACTCTCTGATGATAGGAACCAAGTAGAATATAATTCAAGTCTCATCTAAAAAGTAAACTCAAGTAAGTGTCTAGAAGTATGGTGCATCTAACAAGTCCTGAAGTATATGAAAGTCTGCATTGATACGTATGAGTGAATATATTGTTAAAACATAAGGTTTTTCCGTAAAAGTGCATGGTTGAATCCACGCACACGCACACGCACACAAACAAGTCTTAAAAATTATTTCAATCAAGAAAATATTTTCAAAAACTCCTTGAAGTCATATCAGATGAGTTAGGAACTGTCAGAAACACTATGGACAAGTTTTTAATGATGGGAAAGAGATAAATATTTACTTTCCGTTTTGATCTTATTAATCGATTAATTTAGGTCTACCAATTAATTGGTGCATATTTCCAAGTCAAGTCATAATTGGCGATACAATTAATTGCTTTTTGTGTCAACCTCTAGCCTATAAATAGAGGTCCCTTCCCACATCGAAAACGTGATTTCATTTCTCACTTCTCTTTCTCTCTCTCTCTCTCTCTCTCTCTCTCTCTCTCTCTCTCTCTTAAATTTCTTTATATTTACTTTCTCTCAGTAAAATTTTAGCGATATTGCTTTTCGAAAAAGTCATTTTGCGAGTGAGGAAGTTATGATTCTAGAAGGGAGGAAGTGTAAGTTAACCAAGGAGTTTTTGTTTTACATTTTTTAACAATTTATCCATTTAAATATTGTTTCTTTAGGTTTGAAGCTAAACCAGTGAAAAGAATTTGTTTGAGGATTGTGTGACCAAGTCTCTATTTAGGTTTGAAAGTTCAACATGTACAAAAATTTTCAAAATTTCATGATTATCCCGTGATAAAGTCTCAAATTTTTATCTTTTGAGGGAGAAGTACAATCTTATGTCATGCTTTTAAGTACCGATATTAGCTTATGTTTTATGAGTTATTATTTACATGATTTATGTGCATGTGATGTTTATCAATCCACCTTTTTCATAAGCCAAATGGAGAGAAGTATACTCTCAAAGAAAGTAGAGTATATTATTTTTATTTGCTGAGAGTTCTTTGTGACAATTGTAAAAGTTGGAGTTGATATCAGCTGTCAAGTAAGCTCTTGATGATGACATTGTTAGATTAATTATTTAATTAATCAAATATGGATTGAAATAATTAATTATTAATTAATTATATTATGATCAATTATAAATAAGCACTAATTGTTAATGCATTATTTAATTAGGTTTCGTGTCTGAATGGACCATGATGGGTTGGATCATTCAGTTACGCCTAATGAAAGGTCTTTTCCCTAAGCTATTTAGTCATTTAAGCGTTATCCCATTAAACGATTAACATATTTTGAAAATCCTAAACGATAATGTGGATAGTAATTCTCTCATATTCACTCATTCGATGACCCTCTCTCAAATCCTACAAGATACATTGTTCTTATTATTGTTGATTATTCTATAATATAATAATATGATGTAATATTGTGTCTGTTGATTCATTTAGATCTATCAGGCATCTGATCAAAAAGATATCTCAAGCATCTTCAGGTGAAAAATTCAAAGATCTAGTTGAAGTGTTAACCAAGTAGGTGATCTTGAAGTTTGAAAGAAAGGAAGTGTGAAAACTCGTATAATCCTGCGCTTAATGTATTAGAATGATATGTTAAATTGTAAAAGATCGAGAGTTAGTCTTGAAGTAATGAAGCGCGCACATACACACAGGCACACACGTGCACACACACATACACGTGAACACCAATATTAGAACGAACACATTGACCTACGAATATCGATGATTGAAAATGAATTCCGAGAAAATTCTTGTCTAAAGAATTGCTAGAATGTAAATTGCAATTATTTTTTGGTTGAAAAGAGAAAGAGAAAGAGTGTGTACTGCATAAGTAAATTATAAGCAATAGAAGTTAAAAAATACTTTAGTGACTCCAATTATCTTTCTATAAGACTGTTATATTTAAACCAAGTACATGCTATGTTGATTACATTGTATCTAAGTGAATGGAAGAGAATTATGGCCACAAACAAAAAAGTACACCTGCTTCCCATTGAAAAATTTGAAGTACTTAATCACGTGATATAAATTTGAATGTGTAATTGAGTTAGATGACAATACATAACATCCAAACATATATTGGACCCCATCTGTTTGGACTATTTCCTCATTAATTGCTTCCTCTTTTCCATAACCTTTGGTTGATGTTATTTATTCATTTTGTTCAAGGTGCTATTGTCCTCATTATAATGGGTCACTTAATGTATTGTGATCTAATGGCATCGTGATTATTAATGTACAAGTTTTTTGGTTCATATGTTGATTAAATAATATATTTGTGTATGTTTTATTTCATTCATGATTTTTCTTTTCCTTTCAAAAGGTTAAAAATTCTACGATTAAACCAAAAGTCATTGATTTGAATATAATATTGTTATTGTTCATTACTATTATCCTACATAATTCTAATGATTAGTGTTTGTAGTGTTTAGACTTTATACTAGTAGTTTGTTAACAGATCAAACTGTTTAGAAAACATTGTGAGTGTGATTGATGTATACTGAAATCTGTCTTCCAATACTTATTGTTAGGGGATCCTCTCCATTTTGTATAGCTATAGTAAATTAATTAACTTTTGGAAAACAGAATGATGAGAAACATGATTGTCAATTTTTCAAATGTTGGTTTCAAATAAGTTACTAAGAGCATCTCCAACCGTAAACCCATTTTTTGGTTCTTTGTGTGACCTATTAAATCACGTCAATTTGAAGTAATTTAACTAATTTTTCACTCCAATGGTGCAACTCTGAAGAACTCATATTGGGTCCCACAACTTTAATTTATATATTAATATTTTATTCATATTAAATTTTATATCAGTTAAAATAATAATTTTAATTTTAGTGTTTTAAATTAAATTTGATATAAAATAAAATAAAAATTAAACTTATAATTTAAAATGATAATTAAAATTAATCTAAAATACATGATATATAATTAAAAACAATAAAAATAAATAACATTACATAATTAATCAAACTTAAATTTCATCATCTTCATGTCCAAAACGTTCCCAAATATGTTCGACTAGATCTCCTTGAAGTTTAAGATGAACTTGTTTTTCTTGAATACTTGCTCTTCTTTGTAGTCTTGTTGCAAGATTCGGATGAGGACCGCTAAATGTTTCAGTTGTTGAGTTATTGATATCCACATTATCATAAGAGTAATCAAAATTACCTCCATATGTATGTCGTTCGTCTTCCACAATCATGTTGTGCAATATGATGCAAGCATATATGGTATGCTTGAGAGTGTCCATGTGTCAGGCACGTGCTGGGCCACGTTTAATTGCAAATCGAGATTGAAGCACTCCAAATGCTCGCTCCACATCTTTTCTAGCTGATTCTTGATGTTGAGCAAATAATTTTTTCTTTTCTCCCTGTGGCATTGAAATAGTCTTGACAAATGTAGCCCACTCGGGGTATATACCATCTGCTAAATAATGCCTCATGTTATATGGTATCCCATTGATTGTATATTGCACATTTGGAGCACGTCCTTCCAAAATATCGTTAAACACGTTGGATTGGTTTAGCACATTAATGTCATTGTTTGAACCTGCAATACCAAAAAAAGCATGCCAAATCCATAAGTCTTGTGATGCCACTGCTTCAAGCATGATTGTGGGCTTACCATGATCACCTCGACAAAATTGTCCTTTCCATGCAACAGGACAATTTTTCCATACCCAATGCATACAATCGATGGAACCCAACATACCTGGAAAGCCACGTGACTCTCCCATTTGTAATAGATGTTCAACATCAGTGTTGTTAGGCTTTCTCAAATACTCAGCGCCAAATACAACATTGACACCCTTAACAAATCTTTCTAAGCCCTCAATTGAAGTGTTTTCACCAATTCGAACATATTCGTCTACAAGGTCAGTAGGAGACCCATACGCCAACATACGAATAGCAGATGTACATTTCTGCAATGGTGAAAGACCCATTTTACCTGTTGCATCGACCCTCATTTGGAAATATTCATCATGATTTCCAAGGGCATCTACAATTCGAAGAAATACATGCCTATGCATTCTGAACATTCTTCGGAATTGAACATCTGTGTATACTGGGTTTTTCGAGAAGTAGTCATTGAATAATCGATTGTGCCCTTCTTCACGACCTCGATCTACCGTTGTTCTTCTCTTTGGCCTAGAGGAAGTTCCAGATCGACGTTCATTTTGAAGTTGTTGTTCTTCATCACTGTCGTCCATAAATTCTTCTTCAACCAACTCCCAAAATTCTTAATCGTAAGTATCTGAAGTGTCTGAATCCATTTAGTGAGTAAATAATGAGAGAAAAATGAGAAGAATAAGATGAGAATGAGAGAACAATGACATAAGTGGTAGTATATATAATGGTTAGTTTGAATAACGGCTAGTTTGAATTAAAGTGGTAGTTTGAATAACGGCTAGTTTGAATTAAAGTGGTAGTTTGAATAACGACTAATGACCATTTTACATAGGTGTTGATAAATTAAAGTGGTACTAATGACCATTTTACATAGGTGTTGATAAATTAAAGTGGTACTAATGACCATTTTACATAGGTGTTGATAAATTAAAGTGGTACTAATGACCATTTTACGTAAGTGATACTAACTACATTCCATATTTTTTTTTCATCTTATTACAATATTTTTCATGAATATTGCATTGACTATCATTCATAGTGGAAGTGTCTTTCATCATCATTTGCACTACCCTTAATTCTAGCTCGTCCTCCTTAGTTTGCGCAAGTCTGTCCATTGCTATTGCTCTTTCATTCTTTGCATCTTGCGTTACATTTGGAATTTCTGATGCCTTACCCTTCCTTTTTGCTGCTTTTTGTCCCATTGGACGCTCCATTGGTGATGATGAGTTAAACTCATAACTTAAAGTTGTATCTGGGTTCTCCGATGATGCCCCACTAGCATAAATCTTTGTTATTTTTGCAGAACTTCCAATCGATTCTTCGACGATGCGCCATTTAACTTCATCTTTTAACAATCGCCATCCATACTTAAGATTGAATGTTGTACCTTGATCCTGAGTAAAAATAGCATGTGCATCTGCCATGACATCAGTCTCGGATGTCCCACTTTTCTTTCCTTTAAGAGCTATTTTGTAACACCCAACAAATTTTTGAACCATGTCATTTATTCTATGCCATTGACATTTTAACTGTCCCCCTAACTTTTCCCGCAATTGCCCACGATATTGGTTATAACTAGCAGCAATTCTTAACTAAAAACTCTCAGCCTTTTGATCAACTCCCACAATTGGATCCTTTGAAACATTGAGCCATGATTGGATAAGTAGTATATCCTCTTCCCTTGTAAATTGCTCTCGAGATCTTTTTTTAACGACAACCTTTTCTTCTTTTTCAGTACCAACTTGAGTAGAAAATGGTGGGACTTGAGTAGAAAATGGTGGAACTTGAGTAGAGAATTCCATACTATTAGAATTCATTTGAGGTATAGGATACATATTTGGATTGTTTGGTGACGGAAGAAATATGGCGGAGTTTGTTGGCACAAGTGGAATTTGAGAATTTTGAGGATTAGGATTTTGAGAAATTTGCATGTAATTGAAAAAAGCTTGTTGATAATGAAAATGATTAGGATCTATTTGGCCAAAACAATTGTAATTTGAAGTAAAATGATGAAATTTTGAGTTAAATATTTTGTAAAAAAAATGCTAATGAGAAAAAATTGTTGAAAAAAAATTAAAAGTATAGGAATAAAATGATGAAATTGTGAGAGAGAAATTTCAAATTGAAGAGAAAATAAAAGTGAGAGAAATTTGTGTTGGTAAATTTTTGAAAACCAAAATTATATTTATAATAAAAAATAAGTTTAAAAAAAAAAAATAGTCGTTTCACAACGGCTAGTTTTATTATATTATTTAATGAAATGTAGCTGTTAGCAAATGTAAAGAACCGTTAAAATGATATACAACGTTTGCCACTTGGAAAGCATTTTACCAATATTAAATACATATATAATGTGGCCAGCCTGGCAAACTTGCATAAGAACCAATGTTGAAGTTGGTCTAATACTATAGTTCTAACTTCTATTACTACTCAATTTTCTTTGAAATAAAACTAGTCCTTTTTATAGATTTAATATAATTAGTTTTATTTTTAAAATAATTTTTATGAATATTTTTACGTGAAAAATATTATTTTAAATGAATTTGTTATTAAACTAAAAAGATCATCTTAATATTCAATAACTTGGACATTCGTATTATTTTTAACATAATAAAATTATATAATTTTTTAAGAAAAAAGATCTCAAAATAATAATCGTAAAATAGTAAAATACTTAAAATGATTTTTATGATAAACTATTTAAATCAGTTTTGTTTTTGAGTTTCTTTTAAAAGTGTTCAATACCGATCAAAAAGACTTTGGACAACCTAAGTCGATAATATCTACTAGACTTACAATTTGATAAAAGTCTGTCTCCTTCAAGAATCTTCCTAGTCGGTGGAGATAGTTACTTCTACAATTCAAGAAAATCTCAACCGTAAAGCACACTCAATGATCATCCGCAAATAGCTAGTTCCTTATTTTCATATATATATATATATATATATATATATATATATATATATATATATATATATATATATATATATATATATATATATATATATATATATATATATATATATATATATATATATATATATATATATATATATATATATAAAAGACGCCAAATCAAGGTAAAGTGTTTCAAATACAATTTCATTTCGCTATTCTTCTTCATATATTGACTTAGCATTTAAGTGATAACCTTGCAACTCTTCCAACTCCACTGCATCGGAGGCTACGATCTACCATCACCTCCGTTCAACTTCTCACTTATGGTTTTAGAACGGGACGGTGGCCCCGTCTCTATGAATCGACTCTTGATTCCTAAAATTTCCATAAGTTTGTATTCAATATTCAACTTTTCTAGTTCGTAACTCTTTATGATCACCGAAGCAAGTACTCACAATATAATGCAAAGATTTATCGTGTTCGTATTTGACTTGGCACGGTTTCAATCTTATTTCTTAAAGATTTCCAGATCATCAATTTTCACCTCAACGGAGATGACTAGATCTAAGGCTACTAAATCTTTCGTTACTACCTTAGCAGCAAGTAATCAACCGCTTCTTCCTCCTCTACAAAAGGCCACAGATCTTGGAGATTTAGTGCCTCTACATTCAGATCTAGTTCGAGCTTCACAAGTGACTAACTATATTCAAGGCAATCAGATAGAAACTCTTATTCCACTTCCAACTACGCAACATGAAGCCTTACCTAGCCATCACACTCAACTAGAAAAACTCAACATACAAGGCGCTAGAGAGCTACTAAACAATGTGTTTAATATTGTTCGACAATAAAACTCACACACCATCAAAGAAAATCTTCAACGCTTGAAGAAGGCCTCCATTACGCTCCTTCCCGCGAAAATACAATTCAAGAAGTTGCTTCAAGAAAGACCCGCGATCCTAGAGCCAGCTGAGACAAAAATATACGAGGTTCCTCGGTCAAAGGATCGGTGCAAAAGTATAAAACATCATACTCCTCCTCCAAGCCTTGGAGGAGACCAGGGCAGTCATGCTTCCACCCGGGTTCAAATAGAAATTCACTCGGATAAGGTTTAGTCAAAACACTTGTTGTCTTTACAAATCTTGGAAAGCAAGATGCCAAAGTCTATGAAAACATCTCCCAAACTAACCAATTATGACAGAAAGGGAGACCCTGATGAACATGTGCAACTTTTAGATGAATTGTTGAGTTACTTCAGCATGGACGAAGCCTTTCAAATTGTTTGCATTGGCCTTGATCGGACCAGCTCAGTTATGGTTCAACTGCCTACTGGAAAAATGTATTGATTCTTGGGTGGGATTCAATGAGGCCACCCTGATCGAGATCATTTAAAGGAAGAAAGAAAGTTTGCGGTTGTATATTTATCGGTATACGCAAGTCTCAATTAAGGTAGATGAGCCTAAAAAGGCTTTAGTGCTGGATTTTTGAGAACAACCTTTTGAGAGACCATCCTTTCAAACAAAAGTTGGGGAAGAGGAATGTCAAATTTGTCCAAAAGATGATTATCAAGTCGAACCTTTTATGATCTTGGCAGAGAAATTGATAAAAAAAATGTATAACCCCGCATCTATCGAGTATCGCCTCGATCGCCCATTCGGGAAAGAGCCTCACCAATGTCAGGACGATTTCGACCAAAATACGCAAGGGAGGTATGGCAGATACACCTTGCTGGTCGTCTCCGTTGAGAGAATATATCAAGAATGTGTGAACACACAATTTTGAAAGGAAAGAATTCACCCCCCCCCCTATCCAGTTAGAGAGACATCTTAAACCAACAGGTTAAAATACTGTCAATTTCACAAGAGCCTCAACCATAATACCAATGAATGTATCCAGTTTAAGGATGTCATCGAAGAGTTAATTAAAAAAAGTCAGATAGTTGAGTATGTAGAGGGAAGAAAACGAGACAGGGAAGAGTCTCCTAGGAGGAAAATCCCCTTCAAAGACCACCACATCCGTGACAAATGAGGATAACAAATAGGCCATCAAAAGCAAACACCCCTACATTACTACCATAACCAAAGTCACACCTCGAGAAGACCTCCCATCCAAGGGCACTACAAAGAGGAAGGTCGTAGAAATGATGGTTCTCTACCCAATGGAAGAGAATGTGTCAGAACCATGCTAGATGATGTCGCTTCGTAGGTGCATCTTAGGACGAACCTTCACAGCCATGCTAGATGATGTTGCTTCGTCGGTGCACCTCAAGCTCAAATATCACAGTCTACATGAAAACCGGCCACCGCCGATGTCAATCTAGAAGGGGCAAAAAGAATATAACAGGTTCTCCAAAAAGACCAGGGAGAAGGAATAACCATGGAGCTCAACATCATTTCCTTCATAAGGAAAATCAACAGGATGGATATTTTTCCTCTAAAAAGTGGCTAAAAAGGCCATAAAGAGCGAACAAATAAGCGACGACCATCTCGCCTGGTTATGTTTCATATTATTTAATCATACAAAATATTATGCTTCAATCATATTTCATTTGTATGTGTGTATTGTCACCAATATCAAAATAAAGTGATGTTTTATAAGACACTCTTTCCTTTATAGCTATCATAGCCATAGGAAACTCAGGGTATGAACAAAGATATTGATGTCCAACACATATAAAGTTAAGGGTGTTGTCGAAGACGCTTTGTATGTTTGGATAAAGCAATCAATTTCCCCAAAAAGTCAGGGATGCTATCAAAGACACTTTATATGTCCTGCTAAAGCAATCAATTCCCTATATAAAGTTAAGGGTGTTGTCGAAGACACTTTGTATGTCCAACTAAAGCAATCAACTCCCCACATAAATTCAGGGATGTCGTCGAAGATGCTTTGAACGTCTGACTAAAACAATCAATCCCCCATAGGAAATAACGGCTCACCCGCATTTGAAAGCTATCCACTCTAGATGCCATGGTGGGTTGGCAACGCATCTACCTCTGACTAGATTTTCATCTGGTAGGGGGAAGGGGAATTGACCCTTGGCCATGAAGGACCCTAGTGGCTTCCAATAAACTTCAAGGGAAGATCTCACAATTTCATAAAGATTCAGAGTTATGCACTCAATATCATGCCGAATACCTCAAAATAGGTATAAAAAATGCATTAAATTTGTATTCCATATTTCATTGTCATAGTGACGACCAATAAACTTTGTGGAAATACCTCACAAGTTCACAAAGATCTGAAGTTGTGCATCCAGGATCACACCGAATACCTCAAAACATGATAGTGACAAACATCTTAAAAAGGCGACGTCTAATTAATTTTGAGAGAAAATTGTGTACACTCGCAAAAAGATAAAATCTAAATCCATGCACTTAGGATAATACAAAAATATCTTAAATAGGTAGAAAAAACATTCCATTTCATATAAAAAGTATTCTATATACACTTTCCATTACAAGGTACCGACAAATAAATACCACAAAAAAATAGGGACCCTAGACTCTAACAATTCGACAAGCCTACTTCTGCAGAGAAATGATATTCTCTTCAACGACAGCTTGATCTAGCCGGAATTGCTCCGTAGAAAGTGTCAAAGGATGATGAAAATACTCGACTTGATCCAAAGCATTTTCAAATGATTGTGAGACCGCCTCAAGGGTCGAACTTATATAGTCAACCAACTGTTGGGTTAACAAAGCATTTTAAGAGCGCAAGAGCTCTAACTCCTTGTGACCAACCCCCATACTATTTTGAAAAAACATACTGAGCTTGATCTTTAATCTCCACAGTCCTCACAAACTAAGCCACTTGGTTGGAAGGAGGACCAACAAACTCCAAGGGAAGCAAATCATTCTTCACCCCGGAGAGAGAAGTGGAAGCTTCCTTTGCTTCATGAAGATAC